ACTTGTGATTTCTCTCTGTCAAATAAACAAATAAAATCTTTAAAAAAAAATAAAATAAATTAAAAAAAATAAAAAAGCAGGTCTATAGCAAAATATAATAATTGCTTTAAGTGTAAATGATCTAAACACATTAAAAACAGAGATCATCAGGTTAAATTAAAACAAAAACAAACAAACAAAAAACAGACCCCGGGGCCCCTGTCTGGCTCAGTCAGTGAAGCATGCAACCCTTTATCTCAGGGTCATGAATTCAAGTCCCATACTGGGCATAAAGCCTACTTAAAAAAACAAACAAACAAATAAAAAGAAAAAAATCCCCACAACCCAACTATATGCAGTCTATAAGACAAACACACCAAATATAATGCAGACAAAATGGAAATAAAGAATAATATAGAAAGGACAGAAAAAATAGACCACACATAAACATTAATCAAAGTAGGTTTCAGAACAAAGAAAATTACCAGAGAGATAAAGAAAAAATGCATAATGATTAAAAAGGTCAATCCCAAAAAGACATAATGATTCTAGATGTTTCTGCAGATTAAAAAGTAAGTGTCAAAATACACAAAGCCAAAGCAAACAGAAATGGAAGAAAAATCCACTATTGTATTTGGAGAATTCAACTTCTCTCTCAGGAACTGATAAAATAAGTAGACCGAAAATCTGCAAGAATATAGAAGACCTCAAAACTGTCAATTTCATCTAATTTAAATTTACAGAACACTCCATTCAACAACACCACAATGCATAAGGGCACATTTGTCAAGGTAGATGAAACATTTGGCAAGGCAGATCCTATCCAGGGACATAAAACAAACCCTAAAATATTTAGAAGAAATGAAATTATAGAAAGTATATTCTCAGAGCGCCTGGGTAGCTCAGTTATTAAGCATCTGCCTTTGACTCAGGTCATGATCCCAGGGTCCTGGGATAGAACCCCTCACTGGGCTCCCTGCTCAGCAGGAAGCCTTTTTCTCCCTTTCCCACAACCCCTGCTTGTGTTCCCTCTCTCTGTGTCTCTGTCAAATAAATAAATAAAATCTTAAAAAAAAAAAAAAAGTATGTTCTCTTTAAAAATCAATAAAAGAAAGCAATCTAGAAAAACCCTCAAACAAAATGTTTATAAATAACTCATGAGCCAAAAAAGTCGTCTCAGGGAAACTAGAAAATATTTTGAACTGAATTAAAATGAAAATGCAAAATACTAAACTTTCACGGTATGTTAAAATTTAAAATTTAATTGACAAAATTAAGTAAAATTAAATCTAAAAAATTTTTTAAAAATGGTTTCTACGCAGTGTTGGTGCACAAAGTGAAGAAAATGGCACTTGCCTAATGCTTCCACACATACATTTGAAAACACTTCTATCTTCATGAAAGAAGATAATTTCTATACAGTGTTGTTTCACAGCGTTAAGTACTAAAAAAATTAAAATCAAATTTTTTAAAAATCCAATTTTGTGGGATGCAGGTAAACTGCTCAGAGAAAAATGTACAGCATCAAATGCTTGTATTAGAAAAGGAAGTCTCAAATCAGTAATTTAAGCTTCCATCAGAGAAGCAACCAGAAAAAGCAAATTCAACCTAAATCAAGTAGAACAAAGAAAAATAATAAAGACAGGAACAGAAATCAATGAAACAGAAAAATAACAATGTAAATGAAACAAAAAACTGGTTCTTTGACAAGATCTACAAAAATGATAAACCTAAGACTGCCTATAAAAAAAAGAAAGAAGGCACAAATTTCTAGTATCAGGAATGAGAACCCCCAAATATCCTTCAACTGGTGAATGAATAAACAAACTGGGGTACATTTATATAATGGAATATTAGATATAAAAAGGAATGAACTACTGATATGTGCAATAACATTAATGAATCTTTTTTTTCTTTTAATTTATTTGAGAGAGGACAGAGAGAGAGAGAGAGAGAGAGAGAAAGCAGACTCTGTTAAGTGCAGAGCCCAATGCGGGGCCCAACGCAGTATCAGATCTCCAACCCTGAGGATCATGTCCTGAGCTGAAATCAAGAGTCAGACTCTCAACTAACTGAGTCACTCAGGAGCCCCACATTAATGAATCTCAAATGCATTATGCCAGAAAATGAAGCCAGACTCAAGAAACAAAGTACTATGTAACTCATTTATATGATGTTAAAAGAAAATATCAGTGGTTGCTGCAGCCTGGCCTAGAGGCAAAAGGAGTGGCTTTTAAACAGGTGTGAGAAACATTTACAGGTAACAGAAATATTCTATACATTGATCATGGTTGTGGCTACACAACTGTGTTATTTATCAAAATTCACACAGCAGTATATTAAAAAGGATGAATTTTGGTGTATGTAAATTATACCTCAATAAAGCTTATACCCCACACACCTGCCAAACAGGAATAGCGGACGCCTGGATGGCTCAGTCCATTACGTCTGTCTTCGGTTCAGGTCATGATCCTGGGGTCCTAAGATTGAGCAGCCCATCGAGCTCCCTACACCATGGGGAGTCTGCTTCTCTCTCTGCCTCTCCCCCAACTCGTTCTCTCAATCTCTCTCACTCTCTCAAATAAGTAAAAACTTAAAAAAAAAATAAAAATAGGAATAGCTAAAAATGCTACATCCTCAGTGAATAAAGCATCAGTCAATAAATACAAAGTTAAGACTCCACGTGAACAGTGAATAAACATTTTAAAAGAATATTCAGCCCTGTTATTAGTAACAGCATTGTTTCTTACTAAATGGTATTAAGTAGCTACTACCTGAGAATGATTAAAATATTGTCTCAAATACTCACTACGGAAATATGTAAGGAAATACAAATGAAAACCATGATGTATACTATTGTACACACTGAACTGGTAAAAACTAAAGAAACGGCATCAAGTCTAATACTGGCAAGGCTTCACAGCAACAGGTAGATATACTGCTTTCTGTTGACAGGGTAAAGTGATTCAATCCTTTTTCGGAAAGCAATGCTACAAAAAAAAAAAAAAAAATCACATTATTTAAAACTTCACTCAATAATTTCAATCCTGGGACCTTTTTCTAAAGAGGATATATATAAATGTATATTCATACTGCCCCCGAAATACATTACAAAGATTTTTACTAAAGTAATTTATAAGGAGGAAAATAGAAACAAATGTCCACTAAACAGGAGAATGCTTAAGCCAAAACTTATAAACTTGGTAGAGATTTCAACCTTACAACACAAATAGCATAGCACACTTTCTTACCTCTTATTTGAAGGTTCAGACTCATTAAAAAATTTACGTCACTTCACACATTTTTTTTAAAGATTTTATTTATTTATTTGACAGAGAGAGATCACAAGTAGGCAGAGAGGCAGGCAGAGAGAGAGAGGGAAGCAGGCTCCCTGCGGAGCAGAGAGTCCTATTTGGGGCTCAATCCCAGGACCCTGAGATCATGACCTGAGCCAAAGGCAGAGGCTTAACCCACTAAGCCACCCAGGTGCCCCCACACGTATTTTTTTAAATGGTACAAGTCTGACATCCATAGAGTGTTGTGGGTTTTTTTGGCTTTACTTTAAAAACTTAACATTACATAGGGTGCCTGGGTGGCTCAGTCAGCTAAGTGTAGAACTCTTGACTTCAGGTCGGGTCACGAACTCAGGGTCATGAGACCAAGCCCTGCGTCAGGCTCTGCCCTGGAGATAGAGCCTGCTTAGGATTCTCTCTTTCCCTCTCGCTCTGCCCCTTACACCCCACCACACTCTAAGAAGAAAAAAAAAAAAAAAAAAAAAGCTTAACATTACATTTTTCAAAGCTTTAAAAGGGGGAAACTGGGAGTCTCTTCCTCCCGGGGCTCAGACCTAGTTTGAGGCGACATGGCTAAACGCACCAAGAAGGTTGGAATCGTGGGCAAATACGGGACCCGTTATGGTGCCTCCCTCAGGAAGATGGTGAAGAAGATTGAGATAAGCCAGCACGCCAAGTACACTTGCTCCTTCTGTGGCAAAACCAAGATGAAAAGATGAGCTGTGGGGATCTGGCATTGTGGCTCCTGCATGAAAACCGTCGCTGGTGGCGCCTGGACCTACAACACCACTTCTGCTGTCACAGTAAAGTCTGCCATCAGAAGACTGAAGGAGTTGAAAGACCAGTAGAAGCACCACCGTTTGAAACATTGCTAGCCTATAATAAATGGGTTAATTTATGTAACAAAACAAAAAAAAAAAGGGGGGGGGGACTGTACTATAATCTCTTACTACACTTAGCTTTAAAACCAGTTAGCAATGAAAAGTATACTATTAACTTAAAAAGCACCAGTCAAGGGGTGCCTGGGTGGCTCAGTCGTTAAGCATCTGCCTTCAGCTAAGATCAAGATCCCAGGGTCCTGGGACTGAGCCCCACATCAGGCTCCCTGTGCAGCAGGAAGCCTTGCGTTCCCTGTCTCTCTCTCTTTCTGTCAAATAAATAAAATTGTAAAAAATAAATAGTATTAGTCAAGAGTGTGTAGATGGACCAGAATAATCTAATAAACTGTTACTAGAAATATACAACCTTCCAGTATTAAAGGAATCTCCAAAGGAGGACGCCAAGGATTTTTGGAGATAATATACTCAATAGTGAGCTAGCGGTATAATTTTCATACACAAAGTTCATTTATAAGGCAAAAAAATAGTACTCAAGCAAGTACTCAAGTATTCAGGCGAAATCCACTGTACCCAAGGCTTCCAAACAAATAGGGAAAAAACAGACCAAAAAATCGAGGATGGGGCATGGGTCTTTATAAGTATTTTTTAAAGACAGGAATCCACCCATTCATTCAAACAAAATATTTACTGTGTCTCATTTAAATCTTACAAGCTCTCCCTACCTCGATTCCCCCAACTGAAGGGAGAAAGGAACAGATTAATTCTAACAGAAGTAATGGGTGGGCCACATGATATTTTTAAAAAATTAATTGGTAGGGAGACTGTCCAAAGATACGGGTTCCAAGCCTTTCTTATACAAGAAACATAACATTTCTGAAGTAGATCAGGTGCATTCGTATGGCACTAAATCAATTTCCAGGAGCAGACATTCCAAGAATTCTTAGCGATATCATTAATGCAACTTCTTTCTAGGAAAGTGAAGAACATCTACCTGCAAATCACTTAGCAATCCCTATCTATACATAAAGCACTTTGACTCATGACAGTGTCCCATATGGCCATTATCAGGCTTTTGCCATTTAATGTTACTCTTCTTAGTAATGTTATATATTTTCTTTTTATGGAACAAATCAATATTAACCCTTGACTATTGCAAAATTCTATATTGTCTCTCTCTTTAATTCTAAAGTCTGTAAGGCCAGGGATGTCTTCTTAATATCTTTTAAGCTACTCTGCACAGAGTGAGCTTAAGTCCTAAAATAATATAAAGAGACATTACTCATCCTTATCTTTAGAAATATCAGTACATGCACAATAGGAAAACATAAATGATGTGAAATGGTTTTCCAGAAACTACCAGAGCTTAGAAAATCTCAGTAAAACACCAAGTAAAATAATTTTTAAGAATGCTAAATTAGGGGCACCTGGGTGGCTCAGTGTGTTAAAAGATCCTGTGATCAAGCCCCACATCGGGCTCTCTGCTCAGCAGGGAGCTGCTTCCTCCTCTCTCTCTCTCTTTGCCAACCTCTCTGCCTACTTGTGATCTCTGTCTCTCAAGTAAATAAATAAAATCTTAAAAAAAAAAAAGAATGCTAAATTAGAAGTGTAAAAAAATTTTTGTTATCTTCCATAATGTTCATGTTATTATTAAAAGTGTCAGTGCACCATGCTCCAAAAGTGTATGATCTATTTTGTATGCCTGTAGAATACAGTAGCATTTATGAAACCAGTTGTCATTAACATTATTAACTTAATCACTCAATTAGGGCAAAAATCTCAGCCTTCATTATGCTCTCTCATTTCCTTCATCCCTCAAATGTAATCAGTTAACAAGTCCTATCAATTATTTCCTTCTCAAATAAGCCCTTTTCCATTCACACTACAACGACTCTTTTTCACACAATTTGAGAGTACTGAAGACGTAAAAATAAGTAAATATAAAAGATTTTTTCTTATTTTTAATTGCTTATAAAAGATATTCATCTAAAGTAAAAACAGTAACAATGTATTACAGGATTTATAACAGAGAAGCAGAATATTTAGGAAGCAGGAAATGAAAGTGTATTAACAGAAGATTATAACATGAAATATTAGACAACACAGATACAGAACATAGCCATCACTGTAGGAAGTTCTCTTGGACAGTCCTGCTCAAGTGCAACCACTAACAACATAGTAAGATGAGATATAACTAATAACTAATAGTGGAGATAAAATGCAATCTTAAAAAAAATAGTAATCCAGGGACGCCTGGGTGGCTCAGTTGGTTAAGCGGCTGCCTTCGGCTCGGGTCATGATCCTGGGGTCCTGGGATCGAGTCCCACATCGGGCTCCTTGCTCGGCGGTAAGCCTGCTTCTCCCTCTGCCTCTGCCTGCCACTCTATCTGCCTGTGCTCACTCTCGCTCTCTCTCTCTCTCTGACAAATAAATAAAATCTTTAAAAAAAAAAAAATAGTAATCCAAAGAAGACAGGGGGGAAAAAAACAGGCTCCTGGAAGTCATGTATGAACTGATACCAAGTCCTGACATATACTTGACAAAAGAAAGAAAAATGTATATCTCTGGCCAAGAAATTTCATTTCTAAGCATTCATCCTACAGATAAACTCTTAAGTACACAAAGAAGTATAAACAAGAATATTTAACATAATGTGCCACTGAACAGCAGAAGACTGGAAATGATCTAAATGTTCAAAAAAAGAGCGTCTGGGTGGCTCAGCGGGTTAAGCCTCTGCCTTCGGCTCAGGTCATGCTCTCAGGGTCCTGGGAGCGAGCCCCACATGGGGCTCTCTGCTCAGCGGGGGCCTGCTTCCCCCCACCCCTGCCTGCCTCTCTGCCTACTCGTGCTCTCTCTCTCTCAAATAAATAAAATCTTTAAAAATAAATAAATGTTTTTTAAAAGCCTGATGAAATAATGAATGGTAAATAACCCTGTAAACACAGACACACATATTCATACTTGTATATGCCACAGAATAACTCTGGAATAATACAAGAAACAGCTAACTTAATTTCTCTAAAAATAATGAACTTAAAGACAAGTCTGGAGAAGACTACTTTCTTTTACCATTTATAATTTTTTTCACCACGTGTACATATTATCTGCAGAGAAAGAAAGGAAAGCAGGGGGAGGAATATATGCTGGCAGGTAGACTGTAACATAAAACTACAAAATCAGCTCTTTAAGAGCAAGAACCCCCCAAAATACTTAAGTTTACTCCCAGAAGAATTTTACACTAGCTCATAAAGAAGAATGGTCAACTAAAAATTTCATGTAGGTTTTCTGGGAATAAACTATAGGTAATTTCACCTCCACTGTATGCAAGCCTTTAACAGAAAGCTCTTCTATTATACTCCTATAATACAGAAGGAATAGAAAGGTATAGCCCCCAAGGACAACAGACAGGAAAAAAGACAACATCAGAAAAGATGTTTCAACCAAGTTTTGAAAGCAGATATATTAAGTGATAAATTAGCTGCAATCTGATTTTAACTCAACCCAAAACATCGTGAACTGTCCAACAGAAGTTCTAGATTTCTGTGCAAAGAAAAGTGCCTTGCCATTCACAGTAAAGCAATGAATAATTTGCTGCATTTTCAACTTCTTATATGAATAAACAAACTTTTTCTTGTTTAACAAGCATCAAGAGCAAGGACAGAAATGTTTCATTTCATTTGAAAATGAAATGTGGGTGTGCTCACTTCAAGTTCAACCCAGAATTGAGTATTTGTACAGCAAAACTGTACATGTATTGCCTTGAGATAAATTTTGTTTTTATTTCTGAAACATCATTTTTAGTGTATAAAAAAGAGATCAAGGAACCAACAGATGTATATAATTCTGCATCACTTATATTTGAGACAGATCACATTACTTGGAAAGAATTCTTTCAAACTATTATACAAATTGTGTCTCAGGCTGTTTTTTTCATATTATCTTGGGTTATGGTTTCCATAGCTTTATTATATACCTTTGTCAATAAATTTTCATATTGTAAAAACCAACTTTACTAACATCACTACTGAGTCTACCTTTAGAAAAATTAAATCCCATTTGGTTTAAGCCATTTAAGCAAAATGTATTGTGGTTGTCTTAGGAATTTTTAGAAGTCTATGAAAGGGAAAGAGATTGGGGTGCCTGGCTGGCTCAGTCAGTGGAGCACACAACTCTTGATTTTTGGGTCATGAGTCTGAGCCCCATGGCGGACATGGAGCTTGAAAGAGAGGGGGAGAGGGGAGGAAAAGATGAAGGGGGAGAGAGGAGAAAAGAGAGGAAAGAATGGAAGGACAGCAAGGAAGGAGTGAAGAAAGTGGGGTGAGAAAGAGAAAAGGAAGACTGATTTCAAGAAAGGTGAGCTAAACTGTTTTTCCCCAAGAAAAGGTAGCAGGGAAAATTATACAAAATGAATAAACTTATAATACATTGGTCAAATAGATCCACAGAGAGATCAGTCTGTACTCAGTGTATTAATTACCACCATACCATTATATCTCAGCTTAGTGACCATAAAAGCAGGAGTTCCTTGAGAAACAGAAATTATCCCCCAAGCAAAAAGACTGGGAAAAACTGCTTTAGAGAGGCAGACTAGGCAGACCCTGGACTTAACCTCAGGCATGATACCATAGAACCCTTCCCTGGGAAACCTGGCAGGAAAAACCCTATACTAGAGAGTCCTTTTGTCATCATTCTCTTGTAAGATCCCCCAGTCCACCATCCTGACCTAGCCAGACAGAACACCTAATCAGCATTTTCGGGTCTTATTTAAATATTAATAGAAAACTACTTTTCAACATGTCAGAAGAAAAGTTCAAGACAAAAAGAACTCTGAAGATAATGCAGAGGGCAACTGTGAGGGTATTTACACCTTGTATAAACATTTTTAGTAGACTCTGACAATCACACAGCAAGGTAAATTCTCTTGAAAAATGAAAATATGATGACCAAGATTTAAAAATCAATTTAAAGGACAGGAGATAAAATAAAGCCGCTAGAAAAAAGAACAAAAAGATAAACTAGGACAGAAATAAGAAAAGTAGTAGTAGTTCAATCCAAGGGGTTCCACATAGCAGG